CCCTCCCTCCCTCCATCCTCCCTCCTTCCCTCTCCCCCTCTGTCCACCCAACACTTCCATTTCCGATCTGTGGCCTCACTCACTCGAATGCAGATCATAAAAATTACAATTGATGTTTCAATTAGTTATAATTTACAGAGTGATTACATTTAATTTCTCTTTTATTGTATTTTAATGGCTTCAAATTTCTTGTTGATGAGATTCAGCCCCATGCTCTGGAGTCACAGGCCGCAGGACCAGGAGGGGGCTGGGGTTCTTCAGGGGGCAGGTGGGCGGGACATGGCTCTGGGGTCTCTGGCGGCTGCCCTGGTCCCCCGGGCTGGCCTGGTGTCCTCTCAGGGTCTCAGGGTCTCAGCGGCCTGGGAGGGACGAGGAACACTGGAGGCAGGAGCTGGAGGCTGGGCCTGCGGCTCCGTACAGATGGTCCTGCTAACGGGAAGGAGCGAGGATCTGGGGGATGAGGTGAGAGAGGAACGAGGGAGAGATTCCGTGAGCTGTCCCCTGCCCGGGATGCAGAGCAGGGTGGTCGGAAGCCCAGGGCAGGGAAGGCCAGCAGGGAGGACTGCATTCTCCTGGCCTGGCGGCAGAGGCAGGGTCACACCCTGGTGCCTGCCCCAGGCCTCCTCCAGGCCGTCCTTTTGGAGCTGGTGTTACCTGGGAGCAGCTCCTGGGGCCCTCCCTCCTGCCTTCCTTCTCCAGGGGCTGCCCCAGGGCTGGAGGCAGGGATGGGAGCCTGGCTGGCGGAGGAGGAAGGGGCCTCGCGTTTGTCGCTGACCCATGCTCAGGCCCCAGGCCCGCGGTGTGACGGAGGAGGGGTCTATGGTGAGCGACAGGCTGCCCATCTGTGGGGCCGGGTGATGCAGTGGCCAGGGTGTGGGGCTTCTGGCTCTGGGACATGGCTCTCCATGCTGCCGGCAGCTTCAGAGCTCTCCCAGGAAGGCCCCTAGATCACCGGGAAAGCAGCCTGGCTCTGTCAGCTCCGTGGGCAGGAGAGAGGTGGCGGCTCCGTGGGGTTCCCTGGTGGGAGGTGGCCTCCCCACATCAGAGTCCCCGGAACAGACCTGAGCAGATGGGGGATCTGGAATGGGTTGTGAATAACCTGCTGCTGCTCCGGAGCTGCCCAGGCCAGCGGCTCTGGGTTTTTATTAGGAGGGTGCAGGTGTGGCTGGGCCGGCCCTGCCCACCTGGGCCTGAGCAGGGAGTCAGTGTCCACCCCTGGAGCTGGGGGCTGATGGGGAGACGGGGCAGGGGTCTGGCCTAGGCACCCCCTCCTCCCCGCCCTCCCAGCCAGCCTGCCCCAGCCTCGTCTCTAGCAGGGGCAGAGCCTGCAGCAGCCAGGCAGGACACTGGCCCTGCAGTGAGGCAGGACACGTCGCTCCCCAGGGGGCCTGGAGGAGCGGGAACTTCAGGCTGGGGAAGAACACGGAGAGGGTGATCGCACTTTCTACCTCCAGACCATTGAATCAGACGAGGAGAGTGGAGGAGAGTGGAGACCCGGGGAGGGGCCGCATCCTCAGGGTCCATCCTAATCCCAGACTGTTACCCGGCAGCTCCCGCCCAGCACCCCTCCACTGCCCGGGGGCACACAGAGTCCTGATGATGGCATGGTTCTGGGGGGCGCCCACCGCACACTCCAGTTTTTACTGAACCGCCAGCCCTACAGAGGCAGACACAGGTTGCACACCACTTCCCTGAAGGATTCTTTCCTTTCTCAGAGACCCCTGAAGTATCTGGATGGGGTGGGCTGTCAGCCGCCCCTGGCCTCAGTGTACCCGTGAATAAATGGGGTCCTGGGATCTCGGGGACTCTCAGGCTCTGCCGTGTCCCGTGTGCACAAGCTGTGGACAGGCAGCTGAGGGGCACTGACCCAAGCCAAGGCCCCCAGAGACCACAGGGAGCAGGGGCAGCTGGTCTCCAGAGGAACCTTCCAGACCTTCCAGAACCTTCCAGCCCCGTCCCTTGCCCCAGCATGCTGGACGTCTGTTGGTCTCGTGTCCTGCGTTTCTTAGGGCTGCCACAGGAAATGACCACACATTTGTTTAACACCAGAGACGGATCCTCTCACAGTCAGTCCTGGGGGCCCGAAGTCCAAAACCCACGGGTCCACAGGGCCATGTCCCTCTGGAGGCTCCCGGGCCATCTCCCTGGCTTTTCCAGCTCCTGGTGGCCTCTGGCCCATGGCCACACTGCTCCCGTCTCGGCCTCCACCTACACGGCGACCTTCCCTGTGTCCATCTCTGATTCTGCCTCTTATAAGGACCTCAGGGGCTTTGGGACCCACGCTACCCCGGGGGGAGGGGGTGGGGGGGGAGCTCACCTTGACCCTCGTCTAAAACACGTCTGCGGAGACCCTGCTCCCAGGTGAGGTCACATTCCAAGGATCGGGGTGAACGTGGATTTTGGGGGGACCCCGTTCAGCCACGGCTCTCTTCCTGGTAACGCATCTTTCCTCCTCTGGGCAGCTCCGCCGTCCCTCGGCCCATCCCACGGGATTCTGAGGGACAGATGACCACGTGCTCCTCAGGAAGCTCCGCAGGAGGGGGCGCCCGCCCTGCTCCTCTGCCCTGGAGTCTCCCCTCCTCCTGCCCTGCCCCTCTGCCCTGGAGTCTCCCCTCCTCCTGCCCTGCCCCTCTGCCCTGGAGTCTCCCCTCCTCCTGCTGTGTGGAGGATGAGGACTGGCCGAGGCCAGCAAGGAGCAGGATCAGAGGTGGGGCTGCGCTGTGGGCGAGAGCGCCGCAGCGGGTGGTGGGGAGGCCTGAGGTCTGCATCCTGGAACCCGGGCCTGCCAGTGCCCAGTGCCGCCCTTTCCCTGGCCCAGCTGTGGGGGCCGCTACCCTCCTCTGCTCCTGTCCCTTGCAGTAGAGGCCAGCCTATGGTGAGTGACCGTCAGCGGCCAGCTTCAGGCTCTGTGAGCAGCCATCAGGGATTCCCACTTCAGGCAGGGGCGGGACTGTATCGATGATTTCCATAAGCACATATGAGGCGCTTCCTGTATGCCTGGTCCCGGGGAGGTAAAGTAGGTCAGCTGGAGGAGGCTGGGGAGCGGGTAGACGGCTCAGGTGGCTGTCGGCGGGGGTGGGGTGAGCTCTGTGCAGCGTGGGAAGCTGCTCCCCACATTTGGTGCACAGCAGGTGCCTGGAAGTATTTGTTGAATAAATGAATTTAGATTATTTTATGGTTCACTTGCTTATGTCTGCCAGTGACTCACGCTGGGAGCATCCTCTCTTTCCTTTGCCCGTCCTCCCCCAGTGCGAGCACGCGCGCACACACACACACACACACACACACACACACACAGTCGGCTGCCTGGCCTCACCCTGGGCACCTGGGAGTGCTGAGTAGGCATCTGTGTTCTGCATGTGGCATGGCTGGCAGACGGGGGATTGGCAGCCGCCGTGGAGGAGCGTCACCCCATTCACCTTTCTGTCTGCTCCTCCCCGGGTGGGGGCTGGGAGGGCCGCCTGGCTCCTGGGAGCTGGGCCTGGACTCTAGTGACTCAGTCTGTGGATCACTCACGTGTTCCCTCTGTGAGCTGTCTCCGTGTCACCCACAAACGTCTGGGCCATCTTTAGCAAGAACAGGCACATGTGGCCACTTCAACACGCATCTTGGGGGTGTCTTGGGGGCAATCCAGGGGGAGGGATGGAGCCGGCAGAGGGAGCACAGCGGGCGGTGGGCACAGGTACTGAGTACTGAGTACTGAGTCTCGCCTGCAATCCCAGCACGTGGGAGGTCGAGGCAGGAAGATCACTTGAGTCCAGGAGTTGGAGACCCGTCTGGGCAACGCAGTGAGATATTGTCCTCCCATTGACCCCCAAATAAACACCCCCAACTCTAAACCTGGGAAACCAGCACCACCAACAAAACTGCCCGAGGCGTTTCACCTGCAGTCCTCATTCTGGGAAGCCGGCGTCCGGGCTGCAGGGCCCCAGGTGACCACTAGATGTCAGTGTTTGTCAGTGGATGGGCAGTGGGAGCGGGCGGGGCTGTGGGAGAGGGACGTCCAGATGCTCTAGGGCTAAAGTGCCCCGGTGGTGCCCATTTCAGACACGGGGTGGTCCAGGGAACACGGCGGGGGCACAGGTAGGGCTTTCTGGACAAGGTGCAGCAAATCAGGAGAAAACCCAGTTCTGACCCCCAGTTCCTTACTCAGTGGCTGTTTTCAGGGCCTGTCCCTCCTGCAGTGTCCAGAAGGGGCCACCGGCAGGTGAGTGGGGGTGCCAGCAGGTGAGAGGGGGGTTCTGGGGCTGGCCAGGGGACAGGAGGTGAGAGGAGGAGCTGAGGGCTGCAGCTGGGGAAACCCGTCCACCCTGTTGGCTGGCTCCGTCCACCCTGTTGGCCGGCTCCTTCCTCCCATGCCTCTCGCTGGCCTCTCTGTTTTGGGCTGGTTTTAAGAAGAAGGAGGAGAAGGAGGAGGAGGAGGAGGAGGAGGAAGAAGAGGGGGAGGAGGAGGAAGTAGGAAGGAGGAGGAGAAGGGAGGGGGATCCCTCCCACCCTGGATGGAGGCGGGGCTGAGTCAGAGCCTCGGCCACCCCCCCCCTCCCCGTGCCCTCCATTCCTGGCAGTGCCAGGTGCCCAGGGATCCCTGGCAAATGTGCTGGCGGTGTGGTCGTGGTGAGGGGGGGCAGTGGGTGGCCAAGAGGGGGAGACGGACTCCCCAACACCCCTCTGCCTTCCCAGGGGGCAGACCCAGCCATCCCCAAGCACGAGGCAGGGATTGGCTCCTGGGCCCCGGGGACAGCGCCAGCCAGGACCCAGCGCCACTCAGGACCCAGCGCCACTCAGGAACTGCGGATAATGACAGCTAAACGCTCACCTCCGCTCACCTCCGTGGGCGGGGAGGGCGGGGCAGGCCAGGGCGACGCCCTGCCTCCTCCAGAGATCAGGAGGTTATCTGCCCAGACGCTTCCCCCAGGAGCCTGGTTCCTTCATTAGAGACTGATTTATCTGGGTCAGGCCCTGACTCCCTCCAGGAGTTTTACATAGTTTCCTGCCTGTAATAGACTATTCAGTAAATATTTGTCAACCGCGTCTCCATTAAAATGAAAATACCCCGAGGAGGGACAGACCGTTTTCCTTTGCTCACACTTCACTGTGAATTAGCCCATCACACTAACTACTGCCCTCACAGGGCTGCGCAGGGGCAGGGGCTGGCAGGGGCAGGGACTGGCCCAGCTCCTTCAGAGGGGGCGCCTGGGAGAGGGGAGCCGTGGGTCCTGGCAGAGAGTGAGGCCCCTGCGCTCAAGGTCAGCACAAGGACGCTGCGGTGCCAGCCACCAGCCGATACGACGGTGCCCTTGGGACAGTGGACCAACTCAATGCCGGGGGTGAATCGAAAGTCCTTTGGGGTCTGGCCTCCTCAGGCCTCCCTGCCTCCCATCGTGACGCCCAGCTTCCTGAACCCCCAGGATGGCCTTCCCTCCATGCCTGCTCCTCTGCCTGGGCCATGGCCTGTCCCCTTTGTCCAGCTCATTCTATAGAATCATTCAGGCTTAATCCAGAGGCCACCTCCTCCGGAGGTCTTTGTGACCAGCTCCACGGTGGCAGGCCATCTCCTGGGACCCTGCAGCTCTCTGTAGTGGACTCTCCTCGCGCTTACGTCCCAGGTTAGAGGAGGTTAATAAAGAGCCGAACTGGCCAGGGTGGGGCGCAGCGGCGGGGCGCTTGGCTGGTGTGTGGGAGGCCCTGGGTTCAATTCCCAGCACCGCACGCACACGCGCGTGCACACACACACACACACACACACACACACATACAAATTGTGCTTGTTCAGAGTTAAAAAACATCCATTCACACGGGGGGCTCCTGATAGAAACTTCCGGTCGTCTGCCTGTATCAGCCGGGGTTCAGTCAGGAAAACGGAAATGCATCCACTTGATTTATTTATTTTTTATGGTACTGGGGATCAACTCAGGGGCTCTCGACCACTTAGCTCTATCCAGGGTCTGTTTTAAATTTTTCATTTGAGACAGAGTCTCACTAAGTTGCCCGGGCTGGCCTCCAGCTTGCGATCCTCCTGCCTCAGCCTCCCGAGTCTCTGGGGTCAGGGGTGTGGGCCGCCCCACCCAGCAGCACCAGTTCTCTCAACAGAAAGGACTTACGAGGGAGACTTGGCCTCCGGAGCAGGACGGACACAGTAAACGCAGGAGGAGGCCGCCGTGGCTGGGCTGCAGCACCGGGAGAGGCGGGACGTCTGCCTCTAGGAGCGGGGAATTCTATCTTGTACCCCGACGACCCATTTGTTCTCAAAATAGAGGAGACCAAAACCCCGGCCAGCGCCGTCACCTCCATCTCCGGGGACAGGCAGGTGACTGGGGTCTTGGTTCCCGTCCTGCCTGGCAACTGAGTTTCTCCTGAACTATTTACTGAATGGTTTCTCTATGCAGGTCAGCCTTGACTTCCAGCTCAGCGTGACCGGTGACCGGTGACCGTCGGCGGACCTCTGACCCCAGCAGAGCTCAGCGTTTCCGAGGACGAGGACGCACCCTTCTGTGAGTGCCGTCGGGCAGGACAGCGAGTCGGGCCCTCTCCCACCCCTGGCTCCCCTGGCCTGTGGATCATTTCTGGGAACCACCCCAATGGACACTGGTCATTATTCGCTGTACCCTGTGACACAGAGACCCGTCTTGGGGACGGTCATTGTCCTGCTGGTATCACAACTGGGCCCTGGCTCTGGAGGCTGGCACCAGCTGCTCCTGGCTGAGGGGGTGTGTGGGGGGACCACGGGTGTCCAGGGAGGAGCCCCTGCTTTGCTTCTGCAAAGTGAGGTCCTTGGCCAGGAGGATGGCCCTGTGGAGCCCCCTCTGAGTTGGTGGGTGGGCAGCCTGGCAGGCGCTCCGTGAGCAGGGAAGGCCCCTCCGTCTCCTGAAGACGTGGTACTCGAGGGAGGACAAACCTTGGTTGTTCAGCTGACCCCCTGGGAACGGTGCTGCCAAGGGCCCAGCGTTGGCACCTGAGGTTGGCAGCTTAGGTGCTCAGCAGAGGTTCAGGTGGACTTCGTGAGTGGGAGTCCCTACTGGTCAGCCCACACGTAGCCTCCAGCTCGGCCACTGTGGCTGTTTTATATGGTCCTACCGAGTGACCACTGGGAAAGCAAGTGGACATCCACAAAATGCATCCACGTGTTTAGGTGATGCCCGAAAACCTTCTCCACAGTGACTGCCCTTGGGGGAGAACTCAGGATAGGGAGACGTATTTGCACTCTGTGCCCTCTCCATCCCGGATCTCTCCTCCTCCCCAGATCTCCTGCTGTCTCTATCTCCCCATCTTGTTCTTTCCAAGTCCAGCCATTAATCACTGCCTGCGAGTCAGTGCAGACCCCGACGGCCGGTCACCTCTTAGTTCAGCAGAAGTGGACACCCAAGGACACTGAACTCCTGCCCACGGGGAGGGTCACCGTGACCCCTGGCTTTGGAGACACTCTGGATCAGGGTGGTAATGGGGTATCCACTTCGGGTCGGAGCCCGCGTATCATGCAGAACCGTCTGCCAACTAGATGAGGTTCCTTTATCTTTACCGGCCGATCTTCAGAACCTGCCACGAAGGCACGGGGTCGTTCTGTGCTTCAGAGACAGCCACCGTGTTCTGGGGCTTGGTGGCCTTTGGTATTAACTAGTATCACATTATCTCCTTGTCTTGATGTCACCTTTAGACCCGTAGGGACTCTCCACTGTGAAAGGTTAAAACTGACGACTTTCCCGTCCACGTCTCCTGTTTTGGTAATGATATTTATTTCCTTCACTGCTTACCTCAGCCATTTCAATTAACTCACTTAAAATGCCCAGTCCTTATGCCCCTCCCCCAGGTGAGTCAGTCATTCTGTGGGCTTATCCGGAAGATAAGGATATTATTAAATCTCCATTCACTTCTCCACTCCCGGTTCTCTTCTCAATTCTGTCATTTTTATCTTGACTTTAACATCGTCAGAGTTGGTGACATTTCCATTCTGTCCTTTAACCACATTTGTGCCATCCCTGGAATCATTTGTAAAGTTGAAATCCAGTCCACAGCATTTACGTTGGGAAGAGGGTGGACGTCCTGTCTTCTGCCACGAGTCAGGTAGTTTCTCCCAGCCTTACCTCAGAACCCTCGTACAAAGATCTCAAAGACTCCGTAAATCAAAACCAAATAGAGTCTCTTTTTATATTCTCCACCCATTGTGCAAAATTAGGCTAGGTTTTCGTTTGCTTCATGCTTAGATCATAATTATTCGGTGTAAGTTTTGTTTCTTGCAGCTTTCAAGTGCATATTTTAATTCTTTTTTTTTTTTTTTTGGTAGAAGAAAAATGACTTCACTCTCCTTTCAAAAATACCCTCCAATTTCTTACTCAGTCTGTCGAATGCTTAGACTCCGTGTGTCCTTCCTGAGCCTTTCTACCCTAGCAGCCATCACCTCCTTCTCCCTGGGAGTTGCGCGTGTTCTTGAAGGCCAGTTTCCTTCTCACTGTCCCGTGCATTTCGTTAGAGCTCCTCTTGCAGAGATGGGGTTTATACAGAGTGTTCAGGAGGTGCAGCTGTTGGGTTTTGGGAGGTCTGAGACGTATCGTGGATGGTTTCCCCGGGAATGTCAAGGGCACTACTGTGCCGTGTTCTGGATCCCGCCGGGCTGAAGCGGGACCATGGGTGATTTCTCATTCCTTTTGTAGGAACCCTCTTCCTCTGACTTCTCTGAGGACTTTGAGGATCTTCAAATTATCCCTGAAGAACTAATGTTTCTCTGTGTGGGCACTTAGAAATTCATTTTACTGAGAAGTCTCTTTTAGTCTAAAGCTTCTTCCTGCCTTGGATTCAGTAAAACTTCTCCTATTTTTATTCAATGAGTTGGCTTCTTTCTGTTTCCCCCCTTCTCTCTTTTTAGAGAGCCTATTAACCAGATGTTGGGCCTTCTGAATTGGTCTTCTAAATCTCTTATTTTTTTTTCCTCTTTTATTTTTCACCATTTTTGTCTTCTCTTTTTATCTCATATTTTGGAGATTACTGATTTTTATCCTAGATCCCTTCTCTCTATTTTAGCACTCATATGGTTTAAAATCTAGTAACTTGTTTTCTGATTCTCTGAGGATTCCTTTTTCGTTTCATCCTGTTCTCTTTTCATGGATACAATAAGTTTCCACATTTCTCTGATGATACAGTTCAGTTGATGTTCATTTACTTTTTTAATTTTAAAATTTCTCTTTCATTTGTCAAATACCTAATGCATCTCATTTTTTTCCCCCCTGTTTCTATTTAAGAATGAAGGAAGGAAATTGTCTTAGTCTGTTTTCTGTTTCTGTAACAAAGTACCTGAGGCTGGGTACTTTATAAAAATAGATATTTTTGTAGCTCACAGTATGGGAAGCTGAAAGTGAGAGATTGCACAGCCTCACCTGTTTGGCCTCTGGTGAGGGCCTCATGGTGGATGATGGAACATGTATAGAAGAGATCAGATGGTGAGTCAGGAAGCCAGAGTGAGGGGAGGGCCAGGTCTGCTCTTTTTACAACAACTCACTGTCTGGGAACCAGCCGGGTTTCTGTCAAACTACATTCATCTTCTGAGGGTGGTGTCCAAATAACAAGTACCTTGAACCAGGCCTCATGTCTTAAAAGTCTCACCACCTCTCAAAAGTGCCACCCTGGCATGGCACACACCCTGGCAGAGGACACATCAAACCATACCCAGGCCACAGCAGGGACACTTGCTCTCTGGGGCTGGTGTGGGTCTCTTGTCCTTTCCCTGAACGGAGGTGCTGCCGACAGCTCCGGTTCACACGAGGGCTTGCTTGCTATCTGGCTTTGGGAGGACTGGCCCGGGAGGGGGCTGTGCAGCCAGCCCGGGAGGCCCCCACGGCTGAGCAGGACGGCCTCCTCCAGCTGGGCAGCGACCTTGATGGCATGGTCTACACGCGGTGTCCTGGCCTGAGCCTGGAGTCCTCTCTGGTCTTTACTGAGCTGCCTCGGCCGCTCCGGGCAGGATGGGGTTGGCGGGTGCTGAGTGACAACTCTGCCTCCTAGACTTTCCATGAACCCCTGGCTCTGAGCACGGCCTCCCTGCTCCCTCCCACCTGGGGTGGGATCTGACACCCCGAGTCCTGGTCTTTCTGGGTTCTTTATGGTGGACACTCAGCCCTGCCTTGGTCCCGCCCTCCCTGTATGCTCCGGTGGCCCCTGCCCCCTGGGCTCCCCACCAACGCTCCCTCACATTCACCTCCTGGGTGTGGCTGGCTCTCGCTCGCTCGCCCCCGAGACCCTTCTTCCTTTCCACCGTGATTGGCGGATCCCGTCTGTCCCTTGGTTATTTGTTCACTGATGAAGGGCCATCGCTGTGTCAGGTGGTCTCAGACCTGGGGATGAAAGGAGGAATCCGGAGGGAGGGCTGACCCTCGTGGAGACGACATTTTGGGGAGCCACAGACTAGAATAAGTTTGTAACTTGGAAAGGTCAAGTGATGGGGGACCTCAGGGGCCTGGGTATGGGGCAGCTGAGACCCTTCCTCAGGGGGGCAGCTGGGGAGGGCCTCTGGGAGGAGCTGACTTTCAGCCAAGAGCTGAAGAGGAGAGGAGCTGGGTGTGTGCAGAGGGGGCTGGAGGGGGGTGGGCTGCGGCGGACAGGGAGGACGGCCAGTGTGCCCGGAGCAGCGGAGCAGGCTGGGCAGGGACCCCGGAGAGACAGGCAGTGGCCAGCTGGTCCGGGGCCTGTAGGTCAGGGCAAGGAGCTGGCCTGTCATTCTGTTTTGATCAGGGAGTGACATGAGCTGATTTGTCAGTGTCCACGCCTCCCTCGGCTGCTGAGTGGGGGAGGGACCGTGCGGTGCAGTGGGGGGGTCTGGGGAGCAGTCAGAAGGGGGAGCGGGCAGCTGGGCCTGGTGGAGACGGATGGCGAGAGGTGGATGGACCTGGGTGTGATGGACGAGCCGAGCGCCCGCCGCGCTGACGGACTGGACACAGGGAGCCGGGCAGAGACAGGAATCTAGGTTCGCTCCTAAAAGCTTTGGCTGAATGCAGGTCATGCCATTCAGGGCTGTTTCAGGACTTGGGAAAGTCAGGGTCACAGGCGTCCAGTTACCACACAGGGAGCCTACTCACTCTCGGGAGTTCACAGCCTCCTACCGGGTTGTCGGGGTGGACGTGGGGGTCTGGAGATCTGGGGAGGACCGTTGGTGGGAGACGACGTGCAACATCGTGCTAGTGGGTGAGGCCTTCGGGGTGCCAGTGGGTAGGAAAGAGGAGAAGGACGGAGCCCCTGCGCACCCCAGTGTTGGAGGGCTGAGGAGGCCCGTGGAGATGTGGAGGACAGCCAGGAGAAGTCGGGAGGACCAGCACCTCGAGAAGAAGGAATTTCCGGAAGGACCAGGGGTCAACCACACTGAGTGCTGCTGGGTGGGCAGGGTGAGAACGGAGGCCCCCGTTGGCGACATGGAGAGGTGCGGGGACCTGGGAGGAGAGGCGTCGGGGGTGTGGTTCTGGTCCACCTGGGCAGCAGGCAGAGAGCAGAGGTCAGGATGCGGCGGGCGTGGTGGGGACAGCTCTGGGGACAGCTGGAGGAGTGAATGGCAGCGCAGGCCCAGGGCTGTGACACAGGCGCCATGATCGCCTGCTCAGCCGTGGGCTCTTCATAGGCTGGTCCATTTGGGGGTTGAGTTTCTGTGTCTTAACCTGTCGGCTACCTGCCCGGCCACGTCCCCACCAGGTGGGCTCTGCTCATTGGGTCAGCACATCACAACCCACAGCCTCACCGGGGCAACCTGCCTCGGGTCACTCAGAGTCCCCAGTGGTGACGCCTTAGCCGCGATGACCTTCTGCGTCACCTGACCCGCCTGGCCCCTCCTGGGCACTGGGAATGGGGGTGGGTGGAGGAGAGTCAGGTAGGGACCTCTGTCCAGGAAGCCTGATCTGTTTTCTTTCTTGTGTGCAGGAATGGAACCCAGGCCTCACCCATCCTGGGCCGGCACTCCACCAGGAGCTACGCCCCACCCAGGAAGCCCCTCGTAGCCCACAGACCCAGAGCTCTGAGGGTCGGGCTCTGCCTAACTCGGCCTGCAGGCAGAAGGAGCTGTGTGAGGCGACGGAGCAGAAGAAAAATGAGCGCTGTCCTGTTCTCCCCGGAACCCGTGTGCGCCGGCCTCCCATGCACAGGAGAGTCAACGCCTCTCTTTGTTTTAAATTAGTCTGTGTGTGTCTCCATCACTCTTGACCAAGAGTCCTAATGAATTCTGCGTGATGATGTCACTTTTCCCCATGATGGAGCCGGGCTTCCGAGCTGAGGACCTGATCCGCTGTGGCCACCCGGCTGCCGCTGGTGGGCCTTGGAGAGACGCCAGGTGTGAGGACGGCACCTCCGCCGTCTCCCCCTTCGCTCATCCCGAGTCCTCCTCTCCACATCCCGGGGACAGTGATTTCTTCTCTGTGTGACCCCTGCGGTTTGGATTCACATAGATCTCGGAGCTCCTGTGACAGCCCCCATTGCCATCCCTGCCCGTCACCCCTGAAGTGTGCTTGAATTTCTCAGACCTTTGTCCCCAACAGGCTCAGAAAATATGGTCCCCATTACCGCACAGCCTCCCTTCGCCGCTCCACTCCTCACTGTCTCGTTAAGAGGGGAGAAAGGCGCAGAGCGCGGGGAGGGCGACAAGGGGCGCCCGGAGTGGGAGGGGACGGCAGACACAAAGGGTGGACAGGTGACAAAGGGCCAGGAAACCAGGTCAGGGGAGGAGGAGGAGGAGGAGGGACGGGAAGATGCCAAGGGACACCGGCATCTGGTCCTGTGGCCTCTCTTACTGCCCTCGATGGCTCCCCAACCCCCAAGGCTCCCTCCCCGGCCAGAGCCCCTGCTTGGCTGACCCTGCCACTCCCCACTGGCAGGCTGTCCAGGTGTCCCTGGGACCGCTCATGGTCTCAGCGCCCAACACGTCACACGACTCCTGCTGATTTTCAGGTCCTTCGCTGATTTTAAAATCCCATGCCCATCTCTAAGAAGATGGTCTGGCTGCCGCGTGGGGAACAGGCTTCAGGCGGGAAGGTGGCCCGGAGAGGCCAGCGAGGGGCCTCTGTCGGAGTCCCCTCCGTGACTGGAGATGGGCTGGGCTGTCGGTGGTGGAGGGAGGAGCCGGATTCCGGATGATTCTGGAACATAGTGGGTGGGGAGTGAAGGAGGGAGATCCAGGGAGATGGAGGAAGCGGGTGGCCGTGGGGTCTGCTTGGCCGCTGGTCCCTGGACAGACTGACAGCTTCCCAGCGAGGCCAGGTCTGCTGGGATGGCAGGATGACCCCGAGTCCTGGCACACGACCGGGTCTCAGTCCATATCTGTTAAGTGAATGGATGAAATCAAGAGAGACACCGAAGGAAAGAGAACGAGGGGGCAAGACAGCACCCAGAGGCCGCCAGAGAGCCCCGGGGACCTCGGCGGCTCTGTCTGGTGGGGGCCTCATGGGGTGGGCCTCCACGGCTCCAGGCACAGTGACTCGAGGTCTCCTTACCTCTGAGCACGTGGAGGTGGGCACGTTTTCAAGTTGGGAACGGCTTTGCGATTCTCTCTGATCAATAAACTCTGAGCATACGTTTCTCATCTGGGCGGCAACTGCAAGAGCTAGTAAATGATTTGCTACGTGTCCTCCCACGGTCAGGGGAGCCCATGTGGAGATGAAGCCCTGTCAGCTGGGGCTCCTGAAGGACCTCGGTGAGCAGAACTCCTGCCATCTGTGTTGCCCGTGCAGGGGGAGTGGGAGAGAAACTCTCATCTGTGCTCAGCGACCGGGATATTGGAGATATTTGTTACTGCAGCAAATCGATTCCATCCTGACTAATACACTGGAGAAGCTGTCTGGCTGAGGCTTCCGTTAATATTATGGAGGCAGTAATTTAATTTCAGTGCCCACTGTCCTATCTGTCTCCTGATCCAACACTCACCACTTGGTCCCCAGATACAGATGCCTCTTCCCTCCCTGGAAATGAGGTTCCCAAGGCCCAGTGAAGGGGGCTGTTACCAGCTCTGCCTAGGCCCTGAAGTCCTGCTGAGTCTGTGTGTAACGTGGGTCAACACTCTCCAGGTGGCCCCCGGAGGACAGCAGACAGCCCCGGAACACCCTGACCATCTGGGCTGCTGCGGGGACCTCTCACCCAGCTTTATGCTCAGGGGAGGCTACGAGAGGAGGCTCCGACCCCGTCCCTTGAAGAGCAGTTGAGTGCTGTGGGAAGGGACGCTCGTGCCCTTCACTCTGGTGGCCAAGCTGGAGCTAAGGAACGAGGGACCCTCAGGGCTGGTCCCAGGAAAGACCAAGGGGGAGAGTGACAAACACCTCGTCTTCCTGTCCTCACGGCCGGGTGGAGGCAGGATGCCAGCCCGGGCCAAGGCTGGTGACCAGAAGCAGCTTGTCAACAAGCCCCGCTGGACACGGGGACTCAGGGCTCCTGGGCAGGCAGAGAGGTGACCCTTCTGGGGGCTGCGCTCCAGGGCGGCCTGTTCTTTCTGCTCACGGGGGCTCCGCTTCCCTGGGTGACAGCGCCCCTCACACGGGGAAGGCCATCGGCCACTGAGGGCTGCCGTCCCCAGGCAAGCCACAGTCAGCAGGGAGCCCAGGATGGAGGGCCGAGGAAGCAGGGGTCGGAGGAGCCAGGGAGGCTCACGGGGAGGAGATCCCGGGGAACCCTCACCAGTCACCTGTCCCCGAGCAGGGAAGCAGGTGCAGAGGACCCGGCTCAGCCCTGGCGGACTTCCGCTCCAGGCAGGAGGAGCACACGTCATGCGGGGCATGGTCATTCACGCCCTCCTGTCCCGTGATCATGGGGGCGTGTTCTCCTACGCCCTCCGTGCTCCTTGGCCACTGACTTGCGATGGAGAGTTGGCACCTGTGGCACAGCGGGGGGCCTCTGCTGTCTCTGCGGGGTCTGGTTCACCCTCCTGGATTTCCTGTCAGAACGCTGCTCAGGTAGATTCTGGCCCAAGGAGATGGACAATCAGAGAGCAGACCCAAACCCAGGTGCAGCCAAACGCCAACAGGCCTCAGCCAGGAGCAGGGCCACCTGAGCCACCACATCGGCCTAAAAACAAGAAGGGACAATGCTTATTATTTTAAACCACTGAGCTATGGGGTGCTTTGTTACACAGCATGACTGCTGCAATAGCTAACTGATACATCAGCACCAAGGTAATGAGCCTCTGCTTCAGACCCCTGGGTGGGACACTGCCAAGGGAATTCCAGCGTTGGGTGGAGTGAGGACAAGGACATCCTTAAGGCTTCTTCGGCCCCTGGGCCCCGTGGTTCCTTGCTCTGGAGGGAGCTGTGGCTGACGGCTTGTTGGAGGCTTGCACTAGGAGTCCCAGAGGGGAGGATCGATACACAAAGAACACGTTAAGCCTCCCACAGACCCGTTCTGCACCTCCCACCTCATCCCTCGGGGGTCCAAACGCGGATCCATAAACCATTCTCGATGTTGAAACAGAGGGATTTTTAAGAGGAACTTGCTTGCACAGGAGGTCAAGGAACTGAGAAGCCACCAAGAGACGGGGAAGTGACCCAGGGATGGCAGAGGTGGGCAGCTCGACTCGGGGAGGAAAGGACAAGGGCCAGAGCCGGTGTCCTTCAACCCCAGCCGACCTGCTAGGAGATGGAGACTTAGAGGAGATACAGCTGCTTCCTGGACTCTACTTGGCAGAGAGGAGGACACACCGCGGCTCCTCTCTTCCTCCTGCCCTCCAATCTGCTACTGATGTCCCCCTCAGCCAAGTCCAGCTGCCACAGGAGCCTGGGAGTTGCCAGGATCAGCTGCCCTGTCATATAGGGAAGGGCAGGTGAAGTGCTCTGTTTTCCGTTACTTTAACAAAATACCTGAGGCTGGATAACTTTATTTAAAAAACGGTTATTTAGCTCACAGTTTTGAAGGTTCAAGGCATGGGGCTGGCCTTGGCTCCTCTTGGTTGTGTGGTGTCATTGGGGGAGCGCAGGTGTAAGGAAGAGATCACAACGTTTTGTTTCTTGAGACAGGGTCTCACTGTATTGCCCAGGCTGGTCTCAAACTTCTGGGCTCAAGGCTCCTCCTGTCTCAGCCTCCCAAGTAGCAGGGACCTCTGGTGTGTGCCACTGCCCCCAGCTGCTGTCCTTTCAAGTTTACTCTACCCGTTCTCTCCCCCTCTCGTTGGGTTCCAGGCAGCCACCGACTTTTCTGCCACGTCTAGGACCCCCTGCATCTTTCTCGCCCCAGGGCCTTTGCACATGTGGCTCCCTCACTTTTGATGACCACTAACCAGCTCTTGGTCATCCTCAGGTCCCAGCTGACACGCCACTTCTTCAGAAATGCCTTCGCTGACCACCCTTGAGGGTCCTCTGGGGCTGGCTTCTGTCTCTTCGTCCTTTAAGCTTCCTCACGGCTGGGTGGCTGATTGCGATTCAGGGCTGGTTTGCTGTTTCTCAGGCTGGAATAGACTCTCTAGGAGGACAGGCTTTGCCGGCTCCTTTGCTGTGTGTCACTCGCTTCTCTCTGCAGGGCTGCTACCGACGTGGCCTCCCACAAATACTGTGGAATAAAAGGTCAAATGAACAAGGAAGGGGATGGGAGGAGCTGGGTGGCCCAGGTACTCAGCCTGACCGGGAGGGGGGAGATAAAGGTTGGCATTTCCGTGAGTGGCCCAGGCTGGGCGCTGGACGGCAGGGCGGTGAGGAGGCTGCCTCAGGTGCCAGCTCGGCTCCCTGCGTCACGTCCCAAGAAGGTCCGCGCTGGGGGAGCTGGAGGTGCTAAATAAAGCCCAGGTCTCCTTGTCTGGGGCCTTGTGATTACCGGGTACTTAGGCTCCGCTTCCCCGGCGGCGTGATGAGCCGTGATTGCCGAGCTCCCGGGTGATTTTCCCCGGGAAGGTAAAGCGATGCCTGTGATTTCCAGAAGATGCCTCCGGCTGCCACCCCCAGGCAGGGCGCAGGGCCCAGCCGACCCGAGGACAAGAGCGGCTCTGCCCCTGCTCGGGCTAGAGGTTCTGTGGCCCCAGTCTAGATTCTGCCACCAACGGGCGGCTGGATGGCCTGGGCCTCATTTGCCATCTGGAAGGTGGCGGCTGTGACGGGTGCTGGGGGATGCGGGGTGGAGGGGCTCCGGTCCCAGTGCAGCACCCAGACCTGGAGCTTTCTGGAGCTGGGTCTGAGCAAGTGGCGGGGACAGCCCAGGCCTGGGGGGGCTCGGCCACAGGGGGCCAGGGGCTCTGGTGCCGACCTCTCTCTAGTCCTCGGGTCGAAGAACAGAGCCGGAGAGAAGGTGCAGGGTCACCTGTCCCCAGGGCCTGCTCAGCTCCCAGAGGTGAACCTGAGCCTTCCAAGTCCCCAGCCTCTGCCAGCGTCCCCCTGGGTCCCATTTGCTAGCGTCCCTGCTCTGGCCGAGGGCTGGCGGTCAGGAGTTTGGAGCTTGGGTCCACCAGGCCTGAAGCCACTGCCTGGAGGCTCACGGTCCTGGAGGCTGGGCGGGCGGTCCAAGATGGGGGGCTGGCATGTGCTAAAGGTCTTCCTGTGGCTTCATCCCATGGCGGAAGGCAAGAGGGTAAGGAAGGTGAGGGGGGGAGACAGGGGGCGCATCCTTCCCTGAGGGACCACTTCCTCCTCAGGGGGACCCGTCACCCCTCAAGCGCCCCCAACACTGCTCTGGGGAGCATGTTTGAACCACAGCCGGGGCCACGTGCCCCCACCTCCCTGACGAGCTGCATTCAGCGGGTTTCCGGGGACTGCGCGGGGACTGGCCAAGCTGGGCAGAGCGTCTGCAGGGGGCAGAGGCCTTCCGAGCTGCCCGCCCCAGCAGCTCTTCTTCAGGGCACTCTGGAGCCCTGCCCAGTGCCCGGCTGAGGACGGCGGCGCTGGCCCCGCTCAAACACAACCTGCAGGCCCAGGGGAGCAGGCACCGGGCTGCCCCTCTCCTCCAGCCCCCCTGTGGGTCCTCTGTGCTGGCTGCCGGGGGCCAGGCACCTCCCGATGGCTCTCCTGCTCTGTGGCGGGGAGCCCACCAGCCCCGGGGGCTTCCTTGGCTTATCACCCTGCAAACGGGACACAAAAGGGCTCTCACGTCCGAGCCTCCCTCCCTCCCTCTCCCTGGGTCTGGGTGGGCTGCTCAGAGGTCGGGGGAGAGCTCTCCACCCAGCAGGGGCTGCTGCCTGACCCACACTCGGGGCAGCCGGGACACAGTCCTCCTCCGCTGTCGGCCACGTCGCCCCCTCGTGCCTCCGGGGAGGGCACACTGGCCTTTCTGCCCCAGGCCTGCAGGATGCCCTGGGAGCTCCGCAGGTGCCCTGCGGCTGGAAGGGCAGGGTTGCGGTGGCCCTGGGGTGGTGGCAGGTGCCCTCTCTCTAGTCTGGCCAGGGTGCCACCTTGGGACGCACCGGGCACCGTGTTGGGAGGTCCTGGAGGGAGCGCGTCCTCACTGCCCACCGTGGGGCCTTGACCACGCACCTCGCTCACGCTGCCAGTCTCCTGCCCGGGCCTCTCCCGCTGCCCTCTCCTTCCTGCTTCTCGGGGTTGTGTCACAAAACAGCCCAACTCACGTCCTCAACGCAGGCTCTACCTCGGGGAGAACCCACGCTAAGGCCCCCCCGAAGGGAACACGAAAATACAGGGGAGCGGAGGTCCCAGGCCAGTCCCAGGCCAGTCCTAGTCCTGGTTGGGATGCTCCCGGGGCACTGGGGCGATCAGAGGGTGAACTTACCTGTCTCTTGTCTTGTGGGTGGAGAGGCCGAGAGGACATGCGGTGGCCTGAGCCCATGGACCTGAGTTCTGTGGGCCAGGGGTAGCCTGTGACCTGGACACTTTGCAGTCAGGCAAGGCAGGGCTATGAAGTGACGCAGCTGTCTGGCAGGACAAGCATGGGCCATGGAGAAATTCTTCCCCGTAGCTTGGCCACTGGAATGCTGTGTCACTTCCCCAGCCCCAGCCAAACTTTCATTGTCCCTGGTCAAGTCCTTGCACCAGAGAGTTGACCTCGCTCCCACTTCCCCTGGCTTCCACTGGCCTGGTGGTTCTCCGCCTCC